ACTTAAATTCTATACATAATAAACACTTTTTAAAAAAAATAAATAAAATGATCAACGAGACAACGAAAATATAATTGATTGAATAAAATATTTTATATTAAATAAGATAACATCGAATAATAAGTAATACTTTTTTACTATATGAGTCTCGTTTTATGAATTTTTTATTTTTGTTATGTTTCAATTTTTGATTTGATTAATACTTTCAATTTTTATAAAAAAGTAAACAAGAAGAGGAAACAATTTCTGTGGCTGAAAAATTCTTTTACAAGTAATTAGCCAAGTTGAGAAGTCGATGAAAAAGGAGAATAAGATGAGTTTACTCGGAGAATTACGGTACCTACACTTGCTTGAGCTCCATCTGCAGTTGCTACTGCACTCTTAGTATATAATATGAACATCTATCACTTTTTTGCTGAAAGAAAAAAGAGAGAGATATAAATATACGAGATAACATCTTCAAATCAAATAAACTTAATTTAAAAATTTTCATTCGTCTTGATTAATGTTTAAATTCAAATGTAAATTTCATTTACCCTATATCTCATCAACCAGAACTATTTACCATAATATTAACCTTAAAACTTACTTTATTATTATCATTATTAGACTAAATTAGGATTAAAGTGGATTCAATTTAGATTTGATTCATGGTAAACAACTCTAGAAGAGAGATAAGCAGGGCGTTCTACTGTAATGAGAGACGGATTGAGTGGATAAAATATCACGTCAAATGATTCAAAGACAATAAAAAAGATGCGATAATCCTACAGCAGATAAAGATATTTTGAAAAACTTAGATACTCAGTGTTGACCATGCTTCAATTCCGTTTGAGATTCCAAGATTTCTAGGAGAAGTCTTGGTCCTTGGTCATCATGGAAGTCAATTCCCGGCTACATTCTTCAAGTTATTCAAGGATGGTTAATGGTTCATGATCGATTACGGGGAAGGATTCAATGAATGCTTCCATCTTACCAGAGAAAAACTGTGGACATTCCTATTAGTGCCATATCCAAGTAAATGGGGAAAAAAATGGAAAATCATTCAACTTGTCAGCTTGTTCAAATCAAATTATAGATGATTGGAGAAATATGATTTACTTAAATTAGAATTCAATCACATCTTGTCATGTCAAGATTTTAAAATCTGTGTTGCTCTTACTGGTTTATGGAAATTTACTATAGATAATCGATTTTGATTAACACTTATTCAAGAAAGAATTATTTTATTCTATAACGTTATATAGAAAATAATAAAATTAATCACTATAAGTGAAGTACTAATTTAGGTAAAACAATTAAAAGAAGTGAGTTACTACTCCATATGAAACAACTAAAATAAGTGGAGTATTATTCCATGTGAAACAATTAATATAAGCAGAACAATTACTTCGTGCAAAATAACAATTTCATATAGATGACAGTGAAAGTAATTCAGAATAAATGACAAGGTTCATGGGTTAGTTTTATATTAGAATGTTCTGGAGAGTTTGGCTTGGTTGTTTAAATATGGAAATAGTTAAGAGGTATCTCTTTTAATCTTTTTCTCAAGTATAAGTGTTTCTTACGTTTACCTTGTTCTATTGTACCTGTTTATGTGTAGCTTTTTCTCTTGAACCTATTCACGTACAGCTTCTTTTCTTATGCCTGTTCACTTATATCTCTTCTTTATTAGCTCTTACTCGAGAACAAATTTTATTACATATAATTACTTTAACAGTCACCTAATGAGTTTCTAGTCATTACTCAACATTAACTCTCAGTAACAATTACCTAATATTAAAACTCTCCTTAATAATATCATTCATTATGTGTATTAAAGGCTTTTCTTGTTATCATTACTTTTGACACTATAGATAGAACCTTCACAATTCAAGTGGGGGACTTTCACTTCCAGAGCTATCTGACTCTCACTCAAAGCTTCTCTCTAGCCTATTATCACTCAGAACACTTATTCTCTTTTTATTCTCTTTCACTTGCCACAACACTGAGTACTATAAGAATTAGTCTAATCTTTCTCTCCGGTACATTCCTTACTTATTTACTACGTTTCCTCTTTTTGTCACAAGAACCCCATTTACACTTACAAATATAGCCTAACACATTGCCTTTAGAAGTAATCCTAAATGCTTATAAAATGATGACTAAAAGCTGTAATTGGCCCCTGAAAAACAAATCATTACTGGACCCTAATTCACTTAGACAGATTCAAATCAATGCTCTGCAATTGATCCTCCCCATTTCTTCACACGGCTTTCTGCTTCTTCAGCCTGCATAGAAGAAGAATGGTCTTTAAGATTTGCTTTGAATCCAACAAATTAAAGAAACATGGTTCAGGACGAGAAACAGAGAGTGCTGAAGGTCAGGGATACTCACTTCCTTGTTCCAGTTGGTTAGTGAAGTGACAACTACCAGGATTAAGGTTTGCAAAACAATGCCTCCGATCATTCCTGACCAAATACCCTGCGAAATTCAGCCGAAAGTCAAATCTATATTAGACTGGGTTTCATAGCACAAGAATCAACCATCAGAACTACAAAGTCCAGCTGATAGATGGGTGGGTTTCTATATTCAAGTCCTGCATAAATTGTTTTTTCAACAAGTTGTAACATGTCAGGAACCTGGGGAGAATAGGCATAGTAAGTTACCATAACCCCAAAACCAAATGTGAATCCAAGGAGTATCCCAGCCGGCAATCCAACAATATAGTAACACCCAATGTTGAT